CATAAAGATCAATACTCTCTCGCAGACATTAATACGTTGATTAAAAAGATTGACAATAACAACATTTACTCTAAGTTCGACTTGAAGAGTGGATTCCACCAAGTAACTATGCACCCAGATTCTATTCAGTGGACCGCTTTTACAGTGCCAACTGGACTATACGAATGACTTCTAATACCGTTCATATTAAGGAACGCCCCAACAATATTTCAACGCAATATGGACAATTGTTTCAAAGGCTGCATGAATTTTCTTGCGGTCTACATTGATGATATAATCATTTTCAGCAAAAATGAGGAAGAACATAAGATACATTTGGAAAAATTCCTCGGAATTGTGGAAAAAAAAGGATTGGTGCTCTCAACAACCAAGATGAAAATTGCAGTAACGGAGATAGATTTTTTTGGTGCAGTAATAAAAGAACGAAAGATTAAAATTCAACAACATATTATCAGGAAAATCGCCGACTTTCCTAATGAAAGATTGAAAGAAAAACAAGGCTTAAGATCGTGACTTGGAATTCTGAACTATGCACAGGGATATATACCTAATTTGGGCATTTTGCTTGACCCATTATATCAAAAGACGTCTCCCCATGGAGACAAAATGATGAAAGACCACGATTGGGCATTAGTTCGAAAAATTAAAGATCTTGTTCAAAAACTACCGGATCTCGAAATCCCACCATCTCATGCATATATTATCTTAGAAACTGATAATTGTATGGAAGGATAGGGTGGTGTCTAAAAATGGAAGAACTCAAAAAACGATTCAAAGTCGTCGGAAAGAATTTGTGCCTACGCCAGTGGTAAATTCTCAATTATTAAATCCACCATAGATGCAGAAATTTTTGCATGTATGAAAACTTTGAATTCTTTAGGTGTCTGTTAGGGCCACATAGCGGGTGAAAAACAATGCTTATTTGGAGGGTTTCAAGGTGCCAAAGCCAATTGGAATTGGACAACTGAGATGGATGAGTTTGGGTTCTGGTGGAGGCATGGGGGCTCTCAGTTTTGATGTTTTTATTTGGACAAATCGGAGATTACTTTAAGAACCGACTGTCAAGCCATCATCTCCTTCTAATATAAATCAACTCAAAATAAGCCATCAAGGGTGCGATGACTATCATTTACTGATTTTATCAACGGCTTAGGAATCACCGTCCACTACGAACATATTGACGGAAAGAACAATATTTTTGCCGACTCATTATTAAGGCTAACTTTTATTCTTGTTGCAGGTGATCTTAGAATTAACTATATATTTTCAGCCGAAGAATGGATCCTGGAAGACGCAATAAAGGAAAAGAAGTATATTCAGAGATTGCATCAAAAGCTAATTTCCAATGGAAAATCAAAACGGATAAAGCCGCATTCGAGGAATGATGACAGAGCTTTAGAAATGGTCACCCTTGCAATTCAGGACAAGTCAAGGACGCCAGCTACATACACTGGGAATTGCTGTGGTCATGCTTTGACTACCCCATTAACCTTGATGCTAGAACAAGGTTACAAAGAGCACAATGACCATTGAGCAAGAACAAGTCAGAAGGGTTATTGAGGAACTCAACATCCTACGCACAATATACGAATTAAAATCTCTCTATTGCAAATACAATACCACAAAAGATAACTCGTACAAAAACCTTAGACCGTATGTCTACCACAATGAATCTAAGCTCAACGCACTCATCCACGCGCTCATGCTGCTGACGGAAAAAGGACTCCATAATGTTGTTTAGTGGAAGTAGTGGGCCCATCCCATTACTCAATGTCTGTAGTATTATTTTCAAATGTATGCTTTGTGGGGACCACCCACTTATCGTGTGTCCGGTGGAGGTCCTTTCCACCACATGTTTGTCTGATGGAGAATCTTTTCCTCCACCGAATATTTACTTTCTGTCCCTGGTTTTGTCAATCAGTGGGCAAACCCATGGTTTTGCAGAGCTGGTTTCTGGTTTTGCAGAGCTGGTCTCTGTTTGAGTTGCAGACATAGGTGCACAACCTTTGGTGTCTACTCCCTGTAAGCAATTTTATAAGCAATATATTTTCTTATATTATTTCCGTCAAAAGTTGTAAGTGACCCCAAGACGGTGATCCTAGATCTATTCTAATTTGGTATCAGAGTCATGTTGGGCTAAAACTTTTCTTGGTATCTCAAGTGAATTAAGTAGAAGTTTTTATATTTCTGTTTATATAATCAACATATTCTGAGTAGGTTCGTTCTTTGTTTTATTCATGTAATTTTGACATCCTGAGTTGAGAAGGTATGAATACTCTTTAACGTTTTTTTCAGCTTATGCATACTTATTTCTGGGTTTATGATTTTTGAGGCGGAATACTGTCAGTTATTGATTTAAGATCTACGAATGAATATTAATCTGGACGCTGTGTCCTATTAATTCGGTCAGTAATCTTTTTTGTGTTCTTCTTCGAGATTCCTCAGAAAACACACGACCTTTTTTTGTGTTCTTCTTCGGGATTCCTCGGGAAACACAGTAACCTATTAATTCAGTCAGTAACCCTTGGTGCCACGACGAGACTCTATGGAATGAGCACTGTGGAATTGTAGGGGTGAAAAGGAATTAATAAGGTAGCATTCAGGAACCTGATTATGTTTTGTTTGAGATGCTACTTTAATAACTTGATCTAGATATCTGCTATAACAAATCATAAGTTCATAAATAAGAGTCATACTGCTGAGGGCAGGCGAATTTCATGAGCTAAAATTAATTAAGAACTTGAAAAGAAAGTTTTGATTTTATAAGCCGAATCGTAAGACTTTGAAAGGATAAATCTGAGGTACTTTTTCATTGCATTATTATCACATCTTTTATGAACGATGGAGGAAGAGAAGTGCAAACAGTAGTTCCTTGCAGCAGAAGGAAGAAGAAAGAAGGAGAAGATTGTTCTCCCTTGGCGTCTACTTGGTGCTTTGTGGCAGAAGAAAACTTTGGTTTACTTCTCTTGTAAGTTTATCTTCTTCGGTGTATCTCGGTGTAGAGAGAGAAGAAGAGAGAGCAAGAAAGTGAGAGATTCCATTCTTAACTCGAGATGATTGACTGGTGTATATTCTTCAAGTAGTAAAATCCTCTGCAACTCCGTGGACGTAGGTAATTTGCCGAACCACGTAAATCTGTGTGTTCCGCTGTGTTACTGTTTTTTCTAGTGTGAATTTTTTCGTTAAATTTTTTTTGCTTCATCAAAAATCGTTCTTCTATTTGAACACTATGTTATTGTTTTATGGTGTGAATTTTTTCGTACAATTTTTTTCGCTCATCAAAGATCGTTCTTATATTTTTTATATACCACAACAACTGGTATTAGAGACAAGTTCGAATCTGAAGAAGAATGATTGTTGCAGATGAAATGAAGGTTTTAGGGATTGAGAAATTTGATGACACAGATTTTGGTTATTGGAGAATGTAGATAGATGATTACCTCTAGGAAAAAAATCCATTTTCCGTTATTGAGGAAAAAACCTGAAAGGATGAATGAGGCTGATTGAAATTTTATGGATTGACAAGTTTTGGGGGTTATTCGATTGACTCTATCGAGGTCTATTGCACACAACGTTGTCAAGAAAATGACGACTGCAGATCTCATGACAGCTTTATCAGGTATATATGAAAAGCCATCGGTGAATAATAAGGTGTATTTGGTGAATAAGTTGTTCAATTGAAGATGGCGGAAGATGTTTCTATTGCTTAACACCTGAATGATTTCAATATTATCACAAATCAATTTTTGTCTTTTGAAATTGATTTTGATGATGAGATATGTGCGTTGATATTGTTGACATCATTCCTAAATAGTTGTGAAACTACGAGAATGACAGTTAGCAGTTATGCAGGTAAATCTGAACTTAAATGTGTTGATATTCGTTATTTGATTTTGGCTGAGGAGGTGCACATGAAAGATTCTGGAGAGATCTTATGTATGAGTTCGACATTGAATGTTGATTTCATAGGGAGATGTCAGGACAAGAGCTCAAATAGAGGGAGATCAAAATCAAAGTCTGGTCAGCAGACAACCTGCTGGAATTATGGCAAGGTTGACCACATAAAGATGAACTGCAGAAATCCCAAGAAGATTGAGAATGATAGCGCAAATTTGATATCTGAAGAAGTATAAAATGCACTATTGCTGACAATTCATAGTTCTGTTGATGATGGAAGTGAAGAGGAGAGTGGGTCCGGGGCACCCATTTCTATTGTTCCAGAGACAGATGATGGAGAACCACAGAACTATGAAGAAATCTTGCAAGATGAAAGTTCGAGCAAGTGGGATTCTGTGAGTTTCCTTTAGTAAAGCCAGTTGGTACAATTGGTTGGGAAGCTTTCGCAAGCAATTAGTCTGTATGTAGTGATGCCTAAAAATGATATGTTAGGATTGTGTGCGATTATTTTGAAAAATGATATTTTTCTTGATAAATCATGGAAATTATTCATTTCAAATTATGGCTTAATTTTCTTAAATAAGTGGAAACTATGATGGCTATTTGGCGAAACCTGTAGTTGGAGATTGTGAAAGAATGTTAATTCTCCTTCTGTTTCATTCTTTTCTTTTTGAAGTATTAATTTCTTTCAGTCCAAGCAATTTGTGGAAATTTTTTAACCATGCTTCCTGTCATGGCAGCATGGAAGCACTGAAGCCTATTCAAACTTTTGTTGTTAATAAGGATTTATGAGGATCTATGATTTTTGACCTCTAACACATGTAAATGATTTTCTTAAAAATCTCGGTAAGAATGATTTTAGGTTAAACTTAACAAATTTTTTGGTGTTTCTCGTAATACTTTTGTTGATCAAGTTTATATCTCCTCTTATAACATTTTATTGGCAGTCCGATTGTAGTTTCGTCTGATTGTGAATTACTTTTCATGTTGGTATGCGCTTATTCATGGCTCTATGCAAGTTGATATTTCAAAACTCAGCATTATTTTTTCTGTTTTGTGTTAATGTTTTTTGTGCTGTAATTATGTTAGCTAACTTTTTTTAGGTCCTCCTCGAGAAAAGATTTCGTCTTCTCCAGGCAGTGGTTCCGTGGGCAAGATGGGGAATATAGTAAGTTTGCATTTCTTAGTATAGAACTGGTGTGAAAGATGAGAGTAGTAGTAGGGTATTATTTAAACTGCAACTAAAATATACATTGCTAAGTTTTTTTTTTTGCTGATTTTTGGTTACTCGTATTCTGTGTCAATATTGACATTAGTGCCATACCGGGCAAAATATGGGATAATTTTTAAACACAGAATGATTCAATATGTAAATCATTTGACATCTATGGCACTAGGATAAAGATTACGTAAACTTTATGGAAACAAATGCCGAGCGTTTATAAATATACATATTTTGTATTATTTTCATTTCTTAATTCAAGATGAGAAGAAAGGATGTTCATATGACCCTTATCATACATGCAAGCTATTTAGTTGATTAAATTTTAAGTTGGACTTTAGGATAGACAAGGGTCAGAAGATTAACATAATATTTGAGTGAAAAGTAGTTTTATTTATCCCAGTTAGTCTAAATATCAGAAAAGTTTGCTAAAATAGCTTCTCATTATATTGAGTGTTTATTCTAGCATTTTGACGGAAAAAAAAATCCCAACATTGTCTCCGTTCAAATGGGTGAGAATATCCATGACCAGCTAGTATTCGCCCGCTTGAACAACAACATTAGCTAATTATCGCCCCAATGATACACAGCTGTATGGAGAGAACTACAAAAATGTAGGATTGCAACGTGGGCACTCGGGTGGGAGGTTGTGGCGTTAAAAAGAGGGGAGGAGAACGACAAGTTTTGGCAATTATTGCTTCGATAACGGCGGGTTGTACATAGTTGTTTGACAAGAACTACAAAAATGCTCGATTGAAGTGCTGGTTTTTTTGGTGTGGGGGGGGGGGGGGGGGGGGGGGGTGGGTGGGGGGGTGGAGAGGGGTTTT